TCACCCAGTTTAAAGGAAGGCAATTAAGCATTGCGGTGGTCACACGCGAAATTCCTGTTATGCACCTGCTGGTCAACTAAAAATACAATGTTTTTAAAGAATAGTGCACCCGTTTTCACCACAAAAATACCAGTTTGCTTGATCAGTAAGCGCTGCATGCAAAATAGTAAATTTTCAGCACATCCAACATGGCAAGTGAAAGTTCAACAATGACGTATGTTTAAAATACACACTTGTAAATAAAACTGGAAAGAAAACCTCACGTCATAGGCGTGTTATAATTATTATTTAGACATTACAAAACATTGGAAAGCATACATGGGCTATGTGAATAATGTACATTTACTCGGAAAATCTCAATAGCTCAAAGTGTCTTTGTGAGAAGAATATTGATTTTTCAACAAGTATTCCAAAAATCGACAAAGATCAGAATAATCGACAAGGGGACAATGTGCGCGATTTGCATCCGAAGCACATGCATGCCATTAATTCCATCGTGTCTGCCCAATTGTTTTTTACACCTCTTTCAATTTGCGTCTGCGGTTTGTCACGATTTGCATGGCTTCTGGTTTTTGGTGCATTGACAAGGGATAAACCTGTGGGTTTATAAAAGGGAATTGTTTGTTCCTATATGGATGAATTGCGGCTACATGATAGCATACTCACCAGCAGACGGTCTGTATACTGAGTGCCCTCTTCTTTTTGTGTGCGCACTGAAATATTTTTCATTGTTTTTTTGATATTGTACTGTAATTTTTTAAAAAAAACATTGTTTTATATTATTATATTATTTGCTACGTTCAATACGCGTGCTTGGGCTATTCATATTTTACTTTCGCGACACCACACAAACATATATTCAACATTACATTGTCTGACAGACTACGCCGGCAATAATGACTGGTTTCTTGCCCCAGCAAAGTCTGGATCCAGACACACGAGCAAACGTAGGTACTACCAAACCTGTTCTATGCAGCGTGCATTTTAGCCAACTTAATCACGTAAAAAGTACTAGTGCACAGGCCACATTTACAATATGTCTTTGCTAATTGTCAGCCACGTGCGATACTGAAATTGTGTTACTTTTTAACCTTATGCGCTTTATTAATTTGTAGATGCTAAGCAACATGTATGGTATCAATGTTACCCCTGTCGGCAGCACAGACATGGTCGTAATAGTTGTTTGCAGCGGGCTATTCGGCTTGACAACAATAATGGTGATCTACGCGTGGTTTAACAAAAAGTATCGGCCAATTCGTGCAAAAAACTTGTCCTGGACCACGTGCATACACGTATCTGGGTTTCTTTGGTTTCTTGGAGACGTTGTTTCCAACGGACACGTCCGCATAAAAGGCCCATTTGCCCATTGCAAATTGTGGATCATTTGGTTCCGAGTCTTGTTCTGTTATGTATACGCATCAATGCACATTGTCCGCTTTTTTGCTCTCGACCGAGTGTTCAATCAGGGCAAACCCTTCCGCGGGCTTACAGTTTTTATTTACCTCACTGTTGTGGTGTTGGTAAATGTCATATACTGCCTAGTTATTCAGCTCATAAAAACCGAGCTCACAGTACAGCAAATTGACGTAATGGAGGCGTGCAACGTAACCCAGGGATTCCGCATTGTCGCCATTTCAATTCAATGGGTTCTTTGGTCGTGTGTCGCGGTGCTGATTTTCCGTCTACGCAATATACAGTCGAGTTTTAATGAGTTCCGTGAGTCGCTGGCTATTTTCGCCGTTGCCATGATTGCGCTTGTTGAGTCAACCGTTACAAATATGGTGTTCCCCAAATATCCACTCATCCTTTCACGCCGTGTTGAAAAGACATTTATTGATGTGCTTGCAGCAAATATTATGATTTGGCTTATCATCGGACATCCCATTTTTATGTGCTTGTTCTATCGGTGCGAGTATGAAACTGCCTGGCTGAAAAAGCTGACCAAGGATGGCCATAAGAAGGAATACAATGTCAGCTCGGGGCAATTTGGCATGACCACCCCTTATACAAAGGTAAACAATACAACCTACCAGGGGACCCAGCTCAATTTTGACACTGTCGATAGCACCAACCTGGACTATCATCGAGACGACCACTGCGACAAAAGTACATTTGAGGAAGACGACACCCTACGCAACCCACTAAGAGCCTATAGCAACCAGGACGGCATACCCATTGCCTTGCGCGGCAATTTGCATATCCAGCGACCAAGACTCAACACGCCGACAATGCTCACTGGCACCTTTGCAAAACCTTCTATTGATGGAAGGCAAGTAATATAATGACCAATTTGATTCTACAGTGTCAAAATTTTCTATTATATTATTATTATATTAACACCACGCGTAATTTTCATTTTTCTTCGTATATCATCAAAAAATTCTCTACATTTCCTCATATTGCCAGTTACAAGCGAATAGATAATTATCGCAAATTACACAAGCTTTTTTTTTACGAAATAGTGTTGAAAACTGAAAATCAATTTTGATACAGCTATTAGCAGCATATTGATTGAGTATTCTCAAAATCGAGCCATCATATTAAATAATACATTGAGCGAGATATAAAGCAAGTAAAACTCCCAAAAACTAAAGTTGATGAATAAGACAATGTCTACTGGGCCACCTTGCCCGTCATAGGTTCTACTGCAGACCTGGCTACATGCCCCTATAACAAAAAATATTCTAGGGGTGATGAGGTTGGGAGTTATCCACACCTGAGTCTAATTGCCTGGTTGTAGAAGTGTCCGCCAGGGTGTTAGTAAAATTAAATACGAACACCTTAAAATCGAGTCACAGGTTTTCTGCAAAACCTCCAAAATGACAACCCTTTTACTACCGCTTGGCTTGGCTTCACAGTGATTTAATTTAATTTAATTTGAAAATGATGAATGAATGAATGGATGGGTGGAGGCAGATTTTTTTCCACGCCAGATTAATGGTCACTGCAGTCAAAGGTGGTAATAAAAGCGAAAAAGAACCCAAAGAAAAGTTGGGTGCAGGAAAAAGGCACGAAATTTTCAATCCGATTTGCTCCTTCGAATTTCTTTTCTTTTTTTCTTGCTCTCTTTCACACTTGATTTCGCCATTGGCATAGTTTTTGATTTCACGCATTTTTACTCCTAATCGAACGTTCACATTCAGTCGAACAAAAGTGTGCTTAATCTATAAATTTCAGCATCGAATTTCAGGAAGGACGCGGATAATCATTCACATTTACACACCAAAAGAAACCATAAATTATAATGGCAGGAACAACCAAGCAGTCAAAGCCCATGACGGCACTACTCAATGAGCAGAGTGAGCTTTCAGCGTTCGACGCTAGCGCAATTCCCAAGCAGCTGCGCTCGGTTCTGGATGTTGAGAAGGTGTCGACCCTGACATTGGTCAAGGTCGACCCTCTGGCCATCCTGAAGATTGTCAAGCACGCGCGCGAGAGCTACCCGACTTCGGTCAACGGCCAGCTCCTAGGTCTGGAGGTTGATGGCGTCCTGGAGGTCACTAATGCATTCGCTGTGCCCACGCAGCCAGGCTCCGAGGAGGACATGACCAACTACCAGATTGAGATGATTCAGTGCCTGCGCGAAGTCAACGTCGACAGCAGCTCTGTCGGCTGGTACCAGTCGACCCGCTTGGGCGATTTCATGCAGCAGCCGCTTTTGGACGTGCAGGCTAGCTACCAGATCTCGCCCAACAACTCGTCGGTTGTGCTTATTCATGATACTTCCAAGTCTGAGCAAGCCGGAAACCTGTCACTGCGCGCCTTCCGCCTGTCTCAGGTCTACCAGGATCTGGCCAAGAACGGCAAGTTCACCACCAAGGAGCTGGCCGACAAGGGCCTCACCTACGGCAATATCCTGGAGGAGCTGCCCATCCAAGTCGAGACCTCGGCGCTGTCCAAAGTTTTGCTGAGCGAGCTTCAATGGCCCACCAATGCTGAGCAGGAGCTACTCGAGAGCCTCCAGCGCCCGTCTTCGTTTAACTCCAAGCTTCGTGCCAAGCGGATGGCCGACCGTTCGGCAATTAGCGACGACACAGAGTCGTCCGACGCGCTTGACAACAACCTTTCAGGTCTGCTGCCCACGCGCCCGACCGCCTACCTGTCGCGCCCCATGTGCACAAACGCCCTCGACCTCAGCCAGAGCCTGAACGGCTCAGGCTCGCTCTCGCGCCAGCTTGAAGCTATCAGCGAGCTCATTGATGACCATATTCACGATGCTAACCAGTGGATGTACTGGAAGCGCGGCGAGGCCAAGGAGAACAACCGTAGGCAGCAGTTTGTGCAGCGCAAGGCCACCTCCAACGCTGCCCGCGTGGCCCGCGGGGAGCAGCCCGAACCCGAGCTTTCCGAGAAGGAGCTCGACCGGATGTTCAAGACCCTGCCAGAGCCCTCTCGCCTTGATGCCCTGCTCAACACTGCCAACCTTAACCTTCTGACTAAGGGTGTCACCCAGTCTCGCGGACCGGCCCTTACCAAGATGTTCATGGCCCAGGCCCTGCAAGGCAGCGAGTAAGATCCAGGTAGATATCATTTCTTTATTTTCTTTATTTCCAGCTTTGGCATATAAAAGTGATTTTTATAAACATTCAGGTTTGTTCAACCTCTATTTCGATTACAAACAAATTGCCATGTTTCCAATTTCTATGGGAACAAGCTATTAAAACCAATGCTATAAAAATGAGGTGTAAACTGCCCCACCATGCCCATCATCCTGGTTCCATTGCATACCTGGGCCTAATTGCCTGGAGGTGGAAGTTTGTCCGCCAGGATGTTAGTAAAATTAAACCCAAGCACTCGATCTCCCAGCTAGAGCACCAATCGTTGCCAGATAGCTGATGTGCATATCTACTGTCCTCATTGCTGTTTGCCCACGGCTACTTCGGCAGGCCATGGTCATTGTTTTGTCACGGATTTGGTATTCGGGATGTTTGTTGAGATTAGAGTTCCATCAACAATTGGCGTTTCTCAGGGGTCAAATATCTCCTCACCTCCTGTTCAATCTACAGCTTACACTTGCCCTTGCACCAGTCGTTCTGTCTACCTATGATCTCGTTTACAAACACCATTGCTCATTTCGTGCAATCCCCTTGGAGTTTCTTGACCAGTATGGTGTACCTAACCTCTGTCAGCTCCTGCCAGCCGCGCCTCATACCCAAGCCCAGCTTCTTTTCCTGGTAGTGGGCGTCCACACGCTTCTTGAGTTCCTCTAATATGTCATATGTCGGTCCTGGGTACAGCTGGAGTCTGTTGATCATCTCAGCCATGAGATCTGCGGCTGGGTCCCAAAGATCCCAGTGGAAGTCCTCTCGCATCAGAGTTTCGTGATCCCGTTGTGGACATGTTTACCGGAAAAATTGTTTTGATGGGTATAGACAAAACAGCACAAGTTATTTTTAATGTTTTTATGGTTTTGTGGATTGTAGTATATTATGTAATGTATATTGTTTTAATTGTTATTTTTATAGGCCACATAGTAAACGTATAAAATAATGTTTATACAATAAGCTATACTGCGTGTTACATGTTTTTGCAAAATATGCAGGCTGATATTTAATTATTTTCAACGTTTGGATCAAACTTGAGATATGCTATATAATTATCACCAAACCATTTCCCAATATATTATATTGATTTTGGGATATTTTGTTTTTAGTACCCCTATCATTATAAATTGTAAAGTTGTTTATTTTAAGGTCTTTAAATGTTTTAACATCAGAAATAGCTTCCAGCGCAAATGATTCTACTTTTAAAAATTTCGGTCCTCTAAATATTAATATTTTACCATCGTAATTAACACTAATTGTTCTTTTGATATTATATGTACCAATTAATTTTGCCTCATTTTTCTTTAACGAGTCTTTAATATCCAAATGCATTTCATTTTTAGATATTGCCTTGCCGTTACTCAGAGTTAACGCCACGTTACTGTCAATGCATTTTTGTTCTGCTTAATGTGGTCAAATACAACTTCTCACTTTGTACTATCATTTAGATTACTTTCAAATTTGCTGATACTATGATCATTATTATCATTAGTAAACTTGACGCAAATTGTTTTTCTTGCCACAGTTAAAGATAAAAAGGAAGTTGCTTGGGGTTTTAGTTGGACAAAGCTGTAATAATGTGTAATAAGTGCTCTAGACAGTATGGTTGTAGTAAAAAATATTGTTTTAGTTTTGGCGACGATAACGATTGTATTTATAATAAATGCCAGTCTGTATGATTCTCTACTATTTTTTAACATGTTTGCACTTTTTTTACATTTCAATTAATTTGATGTATTAAATTAGAAATATCAATTGTTTATATTTAACACCCATTCATTGGTATTCCAACTAATTTCGTCTTTGTGAAACTGTTTGGGCAATATGCTTAAGTCATCTTCTTGGTACCCAGTACAATAGTACATTAGTAATTTAACCATGCTGAATGTCAGCAGAATTCACACCCTCTATTGCACATAAGAAATATATAGTAGCTGGTTGTCAAATTTGAAACTATTTGAATATTACGACGGCTTAAGAAAACGCTCAAGATTAATAATAATAAATAAATAATGGTGTTTATTAATTTTGAATACACATTGTGACATCAATTATTGCAATGTCACGTGACAATCGCGATTTCTATTTTCACGGGCGATAGTTTCGAATAGATAAGCGGAGCTCTTAAAGCTCCCTTATAGTGGATTTTAAATAAAAATTAGTTAGTACGAATAAGTTTTATTACACATATAATCCTATTTGATGGACACTAAATTGTACGCCAAAACAGAAAATGTACACAGATTTTGGTGCCATTGCACGTTTTTACATTATTATTATTATAAAGAAATAACACTGTTGCGCAGCCCAAAGATATGAAAGTGGATATCGAGGCTGAGCATTGTGAAACAAGTTTCCATTTGCATGCCGATTGATAGGGTATTAATTGGACTATACATCGGTAAATTAGGGAGGCATAATAGTGATACCCAGATATGCTCCCTATTTTGCAATGTACATGTACAAGCGCACATATATGAAAACCACAACATTGACTTGCCAAGATACTGGGCTGTTTGCAGAAGAATCAGTTCTCGCCAACGGAGTGCACAACTGGCGAAGTGCACAACAAAGGCAACGAGATACATATATAATACAAGACCGGCCCTAGTTCTACTTTTGATTCCCTTGATAATAAAAATTATAACAAAACCCAAAAATACTTTTAACACTAGGCGACTAGTGCTCCACTTAAATCATAACAACACCATAGTATGTTTCTTATTTAACGCTTGGCTTTTTGAAAAGCAAAAAGCGATTTAAAGGTGCCAATATATTTTTGTTGTTTGTCGAAAAGACCAAGCGTACGACCAACCTCCCTACTATTGTTTTCTTTTAAACAAAACTGACTAGCTCAGAAACAATTGCCTTGTTAGCTCAGTTGGTTTAGAGCGTTCGGCTTTTAACCGAAATGTCGTGGGTTCGACCCCCACACAGGGCGTAATTAACTGCACAAAATGTGCTAGTTGGCCTCACTTTTTTATTTTGATTCAATTGACACCAAATGATAAAAAAAATTATTTTAGTCTATCAAAAATTTAGCGAAATATGTTACATGCCATTAATAAAATAAAATTGAATATGAGCTGCAAAATCTTGCTAATCATGGTGCCGACCTGTGTTTAATTAACTATCAGCATAAGTTGTTTTGTCTGGCGGTGTTAATAAATTATACAGCTTGCACTTGTTCTTACCAACTAATGCGTTAATTGTGGCCAAGATAACTTTTGTGCATAATTTACCCTATTTGTGCGGCGTATCGATGAAAAGCAACAGTACCATAAATAAGTCAATGTGAATATAATCAAGTATATTTCCAAATTTCGATTTTACATGTGCGTTAACAAATAGTAATATCAATTGTCTTATTAATATCTGTTATTTGTATAAAGTATTATATACCAATCTGACAAATGACATTGTCACTGTTGAGAGAAGTGCTATTCACGCACCGGTTTTACTCAGGCATCGCGGTTCTTCTGTTATCATTCGAATTCATAATAAACTATCAGATCATCCAGCGGGTTCAGTACACAGAGATCGACTGGAAGGCGTACATGCAGGAGGTAGATGGCGTAATTAATGGCGAGCGCAACTATTTGAATCTCAAAGGCGACACTGGGCCACTCGTGTATCCGGCGGGATTTGTCTGGGTCTACCAGCTGCTCTTCCAGATTACCAGCGGCGGGATTAACCTGCGGCTGGCGCAGTACATATTCATGGGTGTATACTTGGCCACCCTGGCCGTTGTCCTGGTGATTTACAAGCACACGCGCATTCCCCCAATACTGCTGCCCTTGCTGGTTGTGTCCAAAAGACTGCATTCGATATTTGTGCTTCGCCTGTTCAACGACACTATTGCCATGCTGTTTGCTTACGTGGGCATAGCGGCTTTGACTGGTTCAAGGAGATGGATGTGGTACTCGGGTGTGTTTTTGAGCCTGGGAATTTCAGTGAAGATGAATGTTCAACTAATGCTTCCGGGTGCGGCGTACATATGGTGGCGGAGGGGTGGGGTGGTAGCAGTTGGGGCACAGTTGGCAGTTATTGTTGCTATCCAGGCTGTGCTGGCCGCGCCATTTTTGTCTGTATATCCCAAGGAGTACATGGCCAGAGCGTTTGACTTTGGGCGGCAGTTTGACTACACGTGGACGGTCAATTGGCGGTTCATAAGCAAGGACGTATTTTTGTCAACTGGCTGGTCAACCACACTTCTTCTTGCCCACGCTGTATTTTTGGCAATACTAGGACTATCCGTGTGGCCGCAAATGTCGGGGAGCACCGCCTATGCGGTGATTAAGAGCGGTTTTCGGCGCCACACTGGTGCCCGCAATGACAGGGGCAGCAGCGTGAGCGCGGACGAGGTTATCGCCGTGATGTTTACTGCTAACTTTGTCGGCGTGGTTTGCGCGCGGTCCCTGCATTATCAATTTTACTCTTGGTATTTCCATATGCTACCGTACTTGCTGCATATCTCTTGCTTGCCGCTGGTTGCGCAGTTTGTCGCTTGGGTGGTTGTCGAGTACGCATGGAACGTTTACCCGTCCACTAGCATCTCGTCCCTGGCACTGCTTGCGACTCATTTGGTGCTGTTGATCCAAATACTGCGCGGATCATCCGCAAATGTCAAAAGGGTCAAAAAGGTGCAGCCCAAGGAGCTTTAACCATATCGACTATCTATATATTTTACACCCTTTAAAAAACAATAAACGAAAAATTAGAAAAACAAAAATGGACAATGTCTATTGTGTTGTCGCATTTGCGTGTAAAAACTGGTAAAGTTGTTTGGCTGATTCATTGTCGAGAAGCTGGTCTAAATCCTCCTTTTTGGCAGCACACATCTCCCTAATATTTTTGTACTTTTTCGCCAGAGCCTGGTAGTTCCTTAAGGTAACGCCAGGCAGAGACTGCAGCAGTGTAATGGCGGACTGCGAGTAAATAGACTCGCGCTCAACCGCACTATCGTCCTGACCCATCATCACAGCACGATCAATATCCGGCTCCTGTGAGTTTCTCTTCAACTCAACAAAAATATTGACGGTCTCGTACGGGCTGCAGCTCCAGAGAATGCGCAGGCGGGGGAATGCCAATACAAGCATGGTCAGTTGACTATTGATGGAACCGAACTGGATATCCGCCGTGAGCCCGCCCATGGCCTGAAGCGAGAAAGACGTGTTGACTTCAAACTCAATAAGTAGAGCGGCATAGGTATAGTGGTTGGTCATAGCCTCGGCTTGGTTGTACAGGCGGCCGCTGCGCAAAGACCCAATGAGATCGGGCAGTGACTTGCGCTCAACAACGAGATTATCGTGCAAAATGTAGTCGCCAATATCAATCGTGCGCGGCACAACGTCAAAGCCGGCCGCATGAAGAAACGAGGGCAGCGGCGAGCGGAACTCGCGCACATCGACGACCACTATTGGTTTTCGCACCGAGTCTTCTTCGGAGGTCGATGCGTCGCGATGGCTGCGGTTGGCAATGGCGCGGAGGAGCGTGCTGCCCGGCGACCCCCCGCCCACCAAAGCCGAAATTCCGGGCACTGCATTGGCGCCAATTGGGATGACCATTGTGGCCTTGTCGCGGATCATTTTCTCAAAGGCCTCGCGCTCGCGACGAATCGAGCTCAAGTACCGCTGCTCTTCAATGCTGTTGTCATAGACCATAAAGTATACCTGCTTTAGTGGGCCCCCATGGGCCTGGTACAGCTCAATTTCGCGGATAAAGGCGGGGTCTGGGTCGTACATGACTATGTGGGTCGGCCGTAGTGCCTCCAGTCGGCCCAAGCTGTCAGAGTACGACTGAACAATCAGAGTCTCAGAGCCAGGCAGAATTCCAAAGTTCTCGTCAAAGGCGCCCAGGGTTTCAGCCCATTCGTCTGCGTCGTCGTCCAGGTATTCGGATCCAGGTTCGACCGCCGCTGGATCCTGGGCGGCCTGCGACTCGTGCATACCGAAACCTAGTAAATCGCCGCCGCTACTGTTGCCATTGTCTGCCGCCGCGTCCCTGGAATTGATAGTGGCTGCGAGCTCGGCGGACTCTTGTTCAAGCTCGTCCGCTGGTGCGCGCAGGACCCCTGATGAGGCTGTCGAGGCGCCTCGTGTGCGGCGTCGTTTAGTCGGTGGCGCTAATCTGCGCAGCTGGCCAGCGCCCTGACCGTTATTAGAATGTGGTTGCGCTGGCCGTGCTGTCTGCGGCGTTGATCTCGCCTGTGCCTGTGCAGAAAAGCCGGTAACTGCTGGTTTCTCGGGTCTGGCCATTTGGGCCTTCCACCTGAAGAAGCCGCGCAGCAGATTAACCATCATGCGCGGGTGCTCGCTGCCGCTGCCCTCTTTGCCGGGCACGTCAAGGCGAACGATGTCGTTTAGGGTGACGAGGTAACTGCGGATCAAACGGCATTCTCGCGACGACCCGGCCATTATAAGCACGGGACCGGCATCCTTGCCTTGCTTAGAGGCACCATGGTTGATTGCGCCGATTTCATCCAGTATCTGCGCCAGCAGCTGCAGCTTTGGCGGCACCTCGAGCACTGGCGCAATGTTCTCAGGCAAGCCCAGATCGCGCAGCCGCACCTTGGTCTCCTCGGGCACTTGGTCAGCGGGCGCCCTATGGAATAAGCGTGCCCTGGCCACGGCAAACAGGATATTAGCCGAGTCGCTGGCCAGCCATGTGGCAGGGGCAGATGAGGATCCAGGGCCGGGCTTGTTGGAAATCAGCAAGGTGTCGAGATACCTTTGCAGCGACACGCAGTCGTATGCAGTAATGAGCTCGGCGACGCGGCGCAGGCTGGCCAGATCAGCGACCATCCCGCGGACACGGCCGCTGAGCCGGTGCCAGTATGGTGCAAGTTGCCGCTTAACCATGGCGTCGAAGTAGCGAAAAAGACTGGCCTCGACATTGATCTCGGCCGAGTCCAGCACCTTGGCTGACGAGCATAGCTCTGAGATCATTGCCGCGACGCAGTCCAATGCGGCCTGCTGCAGCTCCACCATGGCGCGCGTTTGCGGCTGGCGCAGCTCCACGACAGGCGCCGAGGCCTTGGAGAGATCGCGCTGCACAGCCACGTGGAACCTAGGCCACAGGTGCACGTGGCGCAGGCCTAGTACCCGCAGAGTCTTTTCCAGCGGCGCAAAGCCCATGGTGAATGCCTCGGGCGCGTCCGATAGAGCCTTGACAAAGGCGCGTGGGTTTTGCTGGCGTACAAGGCGCAGAATGAAGGCCTCGATGGACTCGGCCGACACCCTGCTGGCGTTGCAGACAATAATGCCCGTGGTGAGCTCCACGGGGACCAGCTTGTTGAGTAGGTCGACGACGAGGATGCGCGAGGTTACAGAAACCAGACCGCCCTTGCGGTAGAGGTGTGCGCGTGCTGCTGAGTTGGTCTCATTTTTGATCACTTGCAGCTGCGTGGACTTGTTGGTGCCGTCGCCTGAGCGCATCTGCACGAAAAGCTGCTTTAGGCTGTCCTCATCCTGGTCGCTGGCGTTCAGGAGAAAGACTAGCGCCTGTGGGGTTGCGCATGCCCGGCCGAGCTCGCCGAGAATGCGCTCGAGGCCCAGGCCGCGCGCAACGACGCACAGGGCGTTTTCGTCAAGCAGGCCGTCCAGGATCTGTCGCTGGAACGGGAGCAACGGAGCAGGAGCCATTGTGTGGGCCGGTTGGTGAAAAATATAATATTTGTAGTGAGTTTATTTAGAAAGCAAAGAGGCAGCCGATTTTTTTTGTTTTGCTTGCCAGCTGAGGCCAGCCGAGGCAAAGCGTATTTTTCGACCAGCTGCGGAAGTTGTGTGTATGGCTCGGCATCGGGGATGATTCACGTGGCCGCAGACCTTTGCAATCCCGTAAAAAAGGAAAACGAAATGAAAAGGACAAGCTGCAGAAATGGCCTTGTTTCGCTTGTTGCTGCTGCTGTTGCTGCTATCCTTTTTTGTTTCATTCAAGTTGAATTCCACGATTTACGTTGCATTTATCCTCACAGCACAACGGCATCGCTCCTACTGAGACAGCAAAATGGAGACCAAGAGCATGGAGGATTACATGGAGCGCATCCGCGTGTTGGACGCGCTAGAGCAGCAGGCGATGGGGCTATCGCGGATGCTGACGACGTACACGGACCGGCTGCAGGAGCGGCTGGAGCAGCGCATAGAGATTGAGGCGGGGGCCGAGGCGGTGGCACTGACCAGCATCAAGGGTCTGGAGGCAGCGGTGATGCAGTCGGTCGAGCAGAAGCGGCAGCTGGTGGCCAAGTGCCAGCACCTGGACCGGTCGATGCGCGGCGTCCAGGCCATGTCGAAGCAGGTGCAGGAGATCCGGCAACTGCTGGACGTCATGGAGTATGCGAAGCGCAAGAAATATTGACAATAAAAATGATTTAAAAAAAACTATATGCGCAGGCGGTCCTGGATGGCCCGGCGCTGCTCCTCGACGGCGGCAGCCATCTCCTCGCCAGTGGCGTTGTATGCGACATGGGCCTGGTTCATTGGGTTCTCGGGCGACTTGAGCCAGGTCTTCCAGATGAGCTCGCGCATCTGCAGCTGCCGCAGCCCCGGGTGCTCGACCTTCATAATCTCGAGCTCGCGCTCCAGGTAGGCCGGGTACGCGGCCTTGGCGCGCCGCTCGGGGTGGCGGTCGATGATGGCACCCATGCCGGACTTCCTTGCCTGCGCGCCATCGACGGCAGCCGCAGCCTCATCGCCGTTGGTGCTGGTGTGGATATTGTCGAACAGGTCCAGCGCATCATCGATGTTGCTTGCGGCAAAGGTCTCCATAGGCCGGTGCACGTGCTCGATCACCTCGATGGCAGCCTCCTTTGCAGCGGCCTTCTTCTCGGCGCCGCGCAGCACCGGCTGCTTCTTGGACTGGACGGGGGCGAGCTTGGCGGGCCCGGTCTTTGCAGCGGCTGACTTTGCGATCTCCCGCTCTTCGGCGCGCAGCAGGGCGTCGGCCTCCTGCTTCTTGGCCAGCCTCTCGAGCCGCTTGGCCTCCTGGTCCTCTTTCTTGCCGCCCTGCTTGGCGCCCTTGTTCCACTCGGCCGAATCCTTGGCTTCCTTGTCTAAGCGCTTCTGGTTGTCCTTCTCGGCCTGGGCCGCAGCCTTCTTCTCCTTTGCAGCAGAGACTATTGGCGAAAAAGAAAGAAAAAAAAGTTAGTTCATTTGGGCTGACTGGCTGGCTGGACCAGCTGGTAGTGGTTTAAAGTGTGGTGGCTATGAGAGGCGTGGGTGTGTTTAGTTACCTTTGCTGTTTTCGCCGGGGAATTTCTTTGGCATTTTCCTGGATAAATAATAGTTTTTTGTACAAGTTCAAGTTGTTTGAAAGGGGAAGCAAAGCTGTGAGGTCGGCCTGGGTGCCGAAAGCAGTTGTCTCAACCCCTTTTTCCTCCCCCAATCTGGTCGATTACGTTAATTGAGACAAGTCGGAAGTTCCTTTGAAAAAAACAACCGCCGACCAACAAAATCGACAGCTTCCATGCTTTTATATTGCTGTTTTTTTTTGTTGCGATTTCGAAAGCCTTCAATCGCCCGCATTAGTCGCGGGTCCTTTACCTTCTTATTGCTTTCGATTACCCCTTGTACAAAACACAAGCAAGCACATTCACATTCACATTCACATTCACATTCACATTTACAATCACATTCGAATTCGAATTCACTTTCACATTTACAATCACATTCGAATTCGAATTCACTTTCACCTTCACTTTCACATTAAAGAGCAATGCAGACGAGCGAGACGCCCTTGGCCAAGCGAAGGCAGCAGCAGCTGCAGCCCACGCAGCTCCAGAGTGCAGTGCCGCCATCGACGGCGATTCGGTCGCGGTTCCTGACAATCACCGAGCAGCCAGCGGCGCGCGGCACAAAGCGGCGGCTGGACGCAGCCAGCACAGGCAGCAGCCCCGGGATCCGCTCGCCAGCGCCCTGGATGCTCGGGTTCGGGCCCGGGCTCGGGGCCGGGCCCGACACGCCAGTGCGCGCGCGGCCAGCCCAGGGCACCGCGTCGCTCCTCGACAGTCTCCTGCAATCGCCGTCGCGCAGCATCCTGGCATCCGTGCAGCGCGACAGCTCCGCGGCCAGCCAGGCAAATGCGCTGCGGCGGGCGGCAGAGGACGCGCGGTTCGACGCGCAACAGGCAGCGCTGGAGCGCGAGCGCGAGCGGTCCGAGGCTGTGCAGCTGCGGCAGGCGCTGGAGGCCGAGGTGGCTGCGCAGGCGAAGCGTGTGGAGGCGCTGGAGCGCGACCGCCGGTGGCTGTTCGAGCAGGAGGAGAAGCTGACCTGTGCGCGCAGGGGGGCGGAGGCGGCGCTGGCCCGCCAGCGCGCTGCCTATGAGGCGCGCATTGACCAGATGGACGCCACGGTGCGCGACGCTGACCGCCGCTTGGACGACGTGGCGCGCGCCATGCGCCGCCAGGCTGCCGAGCACACGTCCGAGAAGGAGGCGCTGCTGCTGCGCGCAACGCGGGCGGAGCGCGAGAAGGAGAGCCTAATGCAGAGCCAAGCAGCCAGGGAGCAGAGCCTAATGCAGAGCCAAGCAGCCGGGGAGCAGAGCCTAATGCAGAGCCAAGCAGCCGGGGGGGACGCCATGCCGATACGTGAGAGCAAACGGGACCCGCCCGGCCTCATCGCGCAGCTCGAGCGCGATCTCGCCGAGCAGTGCGCGTACATCAAGGCTGTCGAGCAGCAGAACTGCCACCTGCGCGCCGAGGCCAAGCGGCTGGCACAGGCCGCCGCGGCGCAAGAGCAGGAGCGCGAGGCCGCACAGGCTCTGCGCGCCAAAGTGCAGCGGCTCGAGGACGCCCAGCGCGCACACGCCGAAACCGCAGCGCAGCTCAGCGCACTGCAGCAAGAGCGCGCGCAATGGCAGCGCGTCTTCGAAGCCCCCGACGCGCCCAATGCCGGCTCGCCATTCGCCGTGGCGCGCACTGTGGCCGACCAGCGCCACGCGCTGCGCGCGCTGGAGACGCGCGCTACCGCGCTTCAGGCCGCCTGCGCCGAAGCCGAGCAGCACCGCGTCAGCGCTGAGACGCGCTGCGAGGAGCTTGCCGCCGAGTGCGCGCGCCTCCGGGCGCAGGCCGACGCCGAGGCGCAGCGCGCGGCGCGGCTTGATGGCGCGCGACTGCACGCGGTGCGCGAGGCGGAGTTTGCGCGCGCGCAGCTGCACTCGTACGACCGCGAGGAGGCCAGCATGATGCCCGGAAACTACGACGCGCACAAGGCGCTGCGCATCCGCCAGCTCGAGATGTTCGTCGACGAGCTGCGCGCCTGGGTCGCTGCAGCCGACTCCGGCGCCGATGCCAGTGGCGCTAGGATCGGCGCTGTCAATGCGGCGTCGGCTGAGCTTTTGCGCGGCTACCGCGAGGACGCCGAGAGCGCGCGCGATGACCACCGCCGGCTGCTGGAGCGCTTTGAGGCGCTGGAGCGCGAGGCCGCCAGGCTCGAGCTCCAGGTCGGCGCCGGGCTGGGCTGCGACCCGCGCACCACGCGCATCCTGCAGCTGGTCGACAACCCCACGGCCCGCGACTTTGCCATCCGCTCGGCCAGGCTGAAGGCGCTGGCCGCCGAGAACGCCGCGCTGCTGGAGCGGCTGCGGGGGCTTGAGAAGGGGGCGGGAGCAGACCCTGCGGACGACGCCGCAGCCGCCTCTGCGGACGACGCCACGGCCGCTCCCTTCTTCCGCTCCATCGACAACCTACGCTCCGAGAACCAGCGGCTGGCCGAGCAGCTGGACGTCTCAGCCAAAATGATTAGCCGCCTCAAGAAGGAGTGGAAGCGCAAGGCCAGCGAGCTGCGCGACGCCATCTACTCGATCCTCGGCTACCGCATCGACTTTTTGCCCAACGGCAGCGTGCGCCTGACTTCCATGTACGCCGCCGACGTCGACCAGAGCTTTGTTTTCACCAGCGGCGACGCCGACCAGGGCATCATGCACCTGTCGGGCGGCGGCAGCAAGCTGTACCTCAAGAGCCTGGCCAACGACATCCGCTTCTGGCTCCAGGAGCGCGGCAGCATCCCTGCCTTCATGGCCACCGTCACGCTGCAGAGCTTCGAGGAGGCCCAGTCGAAGGCTGCGCCCGAATGATACCACACTGGAGAGCTTTGAGGGAGACCCAAGCTAAAACCCACCCCCCGAATGATGCCTTGAATATTGCTATTTTATTAAAACACGAATCAAAATACCCTCTCTAAATGTCGTTCGACGCGCTGAGGATCTTGGTCAGCTGCTCGAACTTGACGTTCTCCTTGATGACCGTCGTCTTGGCCTCGGTGGCCGTCTTCAGCGGCAGCGACACGACGCCCTGCGCGTCGACCGCCCATGAGTTCTCCTTGGCCAGGCGCAGCACCGCCTCCTCGTCCAGGTTGACCATAGCCTCAATGGACTTTGCCGGGATCGTCTGGTACGTGCCCGTGATGTCGCCGACAATCAGCTTGCGCAGACCGTTGTCGAACCCAGCAATCCCGTCAACCACGGACTCCTCCTCGTCGTCATCGTTACCGTAAATCTCCTTCCAGAACTTGATGAACTGCGCCCGCTCCAGGTAGTCCCGAAGGCTGAGCAGCTTGCTGATCGACTGGTCTTTGCAGATTTCCTCCGAAAGCAGGTAGAGGCAAAGGTTGAAGTCTCCGCTGTTGGCTGAAATCAACGCCTTGGCGAGGATGCGCCGGATGACGTCCAGGTCAACCAAGTCAGGGTTGAACTGGTACATCTTGAGAAGTGCCAAGTTGGCCATAAGGTCGTGGTTGGTCGTGTGGTCCGGGTTGGCGCATTGGCGCAGGAGGTAATCCTCAAGCTGTCCGGCCTTTTGCGGATTGTACCGCTCCACTCCTGTAAGCAACGCGTGAATCTCGTCGGGTCTGGTGCTGGGGCGAACGAACGAAGTAGTGGTCATTTTAATTTATATAATATAAAACTTTAGTTTCTGTGTTGCTGATTTTTATTTTTCGCCAATAACAAAGAGTAAGAGTGAAGAAAAAAGAAGGAAAGGAAATTTGCCTCCAATCAATTTGAATCCATCCCACCAAACTCTTGACCTCAATCAATTTTGCTTTAATTCCTTGTCTTTTGCTCTTTTATTCGCGCTTAGAAAAAAGAAGAAAAAAATAATAAATTTTTTATTTGCTCTTTTTGAACCAGAGTCGGCCCTCTCTTTGAAATTCAACCATTTTATGCCTGCATAAATTTCATAATCGGCGGCTCGGTTCGACTCTGAGCCAGAGATACCCTACGCCTTATTTCAAACTCCAAAGGGCTTGTTGTATTGCTGCTGCTTACTTGCAGATCCTCCATTGCTAGAGAGTGTGTATTTGCATATTGTTGACATTCGCCGCCCGCTGCCTCTTCTCTCGCCAGCATAAATTTCGCAACCCCACATTTATTTTCTTTTTTTCCATTTTAATACTCATTCTACATATAGCAACAATTATAATAATAATGGAGACCCCCTATTCCACCTACATAAAGGCAGAGTTTATCGAAACAGACACAGGCAACAAAGTCAGCCGTCGCTCACTAATCTCGGGCTCTCAAAACATAGTCCTGGGCGGCAAAACAATTGTCCACCCGAAATGCACAATCCGCGGCGACCTCCGCCGCGCCGGCCCCACACACCAGGCATCCGTACTCATCGGCCGCTTCTGCTCTCTCGGCCCCTATTCCGTCCTACGCCCGCCCCACAAATCCTACAAGGGTGTCTTCAGCTACTACCCGTTGAAAATTGGAGACCACGTGGATATCGGCGAAAACACCATTATCGAAGCTGCGTCTATCGGTTCCTACGTTGTTATTGGCAAAAACTGCATCATCGGACGCTTTGCTATCATAAAGGACTGCTGCTTGATCGAAGACGGTGCCATTGTTGCCCCTAATACTGTTGTTCCGCCATTCAGTGTCGTTGCCGCTGGCCCCCCTGCAAAGGTTGTCTCGCACCTGCCTGAATCTATACAGGAGGTTTTTGAGGCTCGGTCTAAAGACAACTATGCTAAATTTGTACATGAATAATTGAACCTATATTTTGAAAACTTTAAAACTTTCATACCACCAGATCACTGCGCGAGGCAGTGTATTGTAACCTTTCACCAATTGATTGATTGTAAAATTAACTTGTCAAACAAATTATGACGTGGCGCTCGCAGTATTTTTATAACCAAGCCAGGTGTCAAAAACCGCTTTACAAACTACAAGCAGCAAACATAATAAATCAAGATTGGATGGTCTCAAAGATAACCCATTTAGAAATCAGAGCAGTAGCTTGGTAATAATTACTAGTCAGTTTGGCCGAGTGGTTAAGGCGACAGACTCGAAATCTGTTGGGCGTTGCCCGCACAGGTTCAAATCCTGTAGCTGACGTTAACTTTTGCACACATCGCCATTGTTGTCATCGATGCCCTGCATTGCATACTTTTCTATTTCCTCAACCCAATTGAGACTTATATGACTGTATCAAACCACGTCTCTAACTATTTAATATACCAAAAACGATGCGTACAGACAGGCATCCACTATTTTTCCTTGTCTTTTTTTACTTAATCAGACCTGTGTATTATCATAGTCGACCATACAGCCACACAATATGTAAGCTCACAAAACAATTTAAACGTCGAGAGCGAGCACTAGACATGGCCCGAGATAGATACCAAAGCAGGCAGACATCATTTATTCTCAGGGCGCTTGCTAACATCAACCAACTGGTCTGACTGATACGCACACGAAGTCAATAAAAATTAAACAAAATAGCATGCCTGTGCTTAAAATAAGCGCGGGGGAAAGAGGAACAGTAAATGGATTGAATACAATCGATACAAAATGAACCACAAAAAGACAGAACCAAAACCAAAACCAAAACCAAAAAAGGAATCTGGAGTATAGCACAAAAATTGAGAGATGTGAGAATTAAAACAAAAAGGAATGAGTAAACAGAATGCCAGTCACAATGGGTGGAGAAACATCCAAAAACTATGGAATTTGATGTTTCAGACAAATTGCGCCAAAATACGCCGCAGCCACAAAGTCTTGTTCGAGTCGCGGGTATTTAAAAACAATAGAATTATTGTGATAACGTGAATCGGGATATTATTAATGGTTTGGTCAAAACAATAACGAATGTGGAGAAAGGCTATACTATCTGTTTGAAGAAGATAAAAACGAGTGTAAAGAAAGACTATACTATCTGTTTGAAGAAGATAAAAACGAGTGTAAAGAAAGACTATACTATCTGTTTGAAGAAGATAAAAACGAGTGTAAAGAAAGACTATACTATCTGTTTGAAGAAGATAAAAACGAGTGTAAAGAAAGACTATACTATCTGTTTGAAGAAGATAAAAACGAGTGTAAAGAAAGACTATACTATCTGTTTGAAGAAGATAAAAACGAGTGTAAAGAAAGACTATACTATCTGTTTGAAAAAGATAAAAACGAGCAATACCGCCCATATTGCTCACAACAATATATGTGGTGCCCAACACACATTTCAAGCCACTATCTTCCCTTTTCAAGAATCAAGATCGCCATCATGGCCACTATACACATTTCTGTTATTGTTGGCTGACATCAAGGAACACCATGATGTTTACAGCGCTGCCCCCTTTTTCAGTTAAGCAAGTAATTTTTAAGACTTGAATATATCGATTTAGACCCACATTTTTATAGAGCACGACAATATACAACAAAAAGACTAAAAAATTTCAAAAGCATTAACCAAACTAATATTGATGTATAGTGTGGCAAGGTAGCTTGATCAGAAAGTCAGTTAGTAGCTCGTAAAAACAGCCAATTAGTTGATAATAGGGTTCAGTGGTCTAGCGGTATGATTCTCGCTTAGGGTGCGAGAGGTCCCGGGTTCAAGTCCCGGCTGAGCCCATTACTTTTTTGCAAAACGGCTTACTTTTATAAAAATAAAAGTAAGTATTTGTTTGGCAAAAGATATGCCTTCTACCAGAATCGAACTGGTGACCTTCTGCTTACTAGGCAGACGCTCTGCCATCTGAGCCAAGAAGGCTTATTAATCAAACTAATCTGATTGGTTCTGATCGTTAGTCTTTTGGCACACCAAAACTCTTGAGCATATCTAGCTGCTGCGTTGAGTGTAAAAGGCAAAAGTTCAACCGGATGCAAGGTGAAAACGCGTGCGGTATACCCAAGTGACCTGCGCTGGAAACGTCAATACTTCCATTTGATTTTACACATTGCACTTTCCCAAACACAAATGACGACTTGTCTGCAAGTGCAAATGACTGCCGCCATATGACGCAATCAATAATGCTTCGACAGTTCTGGTAACAAAAATACGTTATATCTGCCCAACATCCTGCATATACTGGCGATCATATTTACAGACCCCGTCGATTGTTCGGTCTGTATGGTGTGGGTTCACTTTGTCAAAAGCAGATACTAATCACTTAGAATGACAACCAGCAAATATGGAACATTAACAATCACATATGCTGTGTATCCGGTTTTTTTTTGGTTTGCATTACTCAAACTCATTTTTTATTTTTGGATTATGCAATGGTGCTCGGCGCGCAATTGGGAGCGCACATCTCAAGGGTTTTTTTTGGCTCTTTAGGGACGGGCAATTTAATTATATTGTTTGCCCTGGCAATCACTGCATCTGGCCACTCGTTATGCCTGTTTGATCCATATCAGCGTTAATAAATCCCCTATTGAGATTTTAGATTAGCGACTAAAGTGAAAACTTGATTAACTTATAAAATGCAATTTGTGTCTATTAATGCGATTGCTGCATTGTCGGCAGCAATCCCTTCAGAACATTCATGCTCTTGTTTGCGTGCTTGGATGAAACTTGTTGGCAATATTGCTCCTACTTGTTTGCATTGAGTGAGGTTGGATTGCTATTTTTATTACAAAGGAAAAGGCCACTCTTCGCGAAAGTATAAATATTGAATCGGCCTTTCTCGCTACAAATTTGCAGATCGCTGGCGGGTGAGAATGTGGACTGACTTGTTTTCGCGTTTACAAATTTACATAAATCCACATATTTAAAGTCCACGGGAGTTTATGCACTAGAATGAGTTTTCAAGGCAGTCTGCCTATTGCGGATTTATAAAAGGAACACAAATGAGCAAACGGGAAATAGCAAGTTTTAAGCGGGTGTGCGACATGCGAAGATCATTCCTTATTTTTATTTTTCACTTGGTGCTATCAAGTATATCGGCATAGTATATATAATGTTTTTTTTCGGCGCGGTGTTATATATTTTGGCTTAAGTCAAACACCCATTTTTGGTAAATAAAAAACAAATATTCAGAAATGGCAGGTGTGATGAACGGATTGAATATTTTTTGGAGGTATAATATGTGACACCCCTTAGGCTTCAGTAATCAGTTTGGCAAGCACGCCTCTCCTTTTTTCTCTTTTTCTCTTTTTCTGCTTATTCGTCACCTCTTTACGTTAATGATACTTCTTATATTTTCCTTACCCGATATTTAATACCTCATTCATCATTATTTTATACGCTTCCTTTATTAAATTTATTACTATTTTATTTGTTTGTTTGTACGCGCTAGTTTCAGCCAGCATCAATTAACGACCCACCGATAAAGCCGCAAACGCCTGAGCAAAAATAAAACAGTCCACGGCTACATCAGCAAATTTTACACAGCGCTAACCAGTTTGATGTCCGAACTCAGAGCAACACCCAGAAATGCTGTGGGCATATTCAACAGCCAGGAGGAACGGATAGCAACGCTTGAAAAAATATTTAAAATGCGCGTGTACCCTGTTGGTAAAACTGACACGCTCGTAATTGGTCTGAGCAGCGCGATTTTTGGGGTTACCTTTATCTTTATGGTTATTGCCTGGTCTAAGTACAAATACCGTCCCATCCGCGCTAAGAATATGCTATTGACAACGTGTATGTTCTTCTCCGGCATAATGTGGTTCGTCGGGGACATTCCAATGAACGGCCATGTTCTTCTCGAAGGGCCTTGGCGCCTGTGCAAGTTTTGGAACGTTTGGGTACGAGTGCTTTTCTGCTTCATTTACACAACGGTGCTGTTCAGTCGGTGCTATGCTCTTGATCGCGTGTTCAACCAGAACAAACCAACCAGTGGCTGGGCATACTATGCACCTAGCGTTCTGCTGTTTGCGTTTATTATTATTTACTCGATAGTAACTCAGGTTATGCCTGACAGGCTGACGATTGGATATCGGGAGGATTACGAGTTATGCACAACGACCGATGGATACGTGATTGTCACGCTCACCATGCTGTGGGCCAACTGGCTTATCATCATTGCCATGATGTACCGTCTGCGCAACATTCAGTCGACATTCAACGAGTTTTACGAGTTTTTGTGCATCAGTTTCTTTGGAATCGCGGCCATGATCAAGACCAATGTTGTACACTACACGCATGCAAAGTATCCTTACACTCTCGGATATCGCGTGGCTGAGACTATAGGCGATGTCATCATTATCAACGGCATTATTCTTCTCATCATTGGTTACCCGGTAGTCATGAGCATCATACGGCCCAGGGAGTATGAGCGCGAGTGGCTGCTGAGACTCAGAACCGATGGTCTGCAGGACATGTACGAGGGCAATTTTAATGTGCGCACCGATGGCCCCCTGCATTACTTAAGAATGAGTAGTTCGGTTTCAAACCAAGCAGATAAGGCACTCTGTGAGAGTGCAGCCAATGGTGATCAATCATTTATTATTCAAGGTTTTGGTCATCCCATTGATAATGGCGATTCAGCAGGAGTAAACTCAGGGTATTTCCCAATTAAAGGCATGTCAGCCGCCACTCCACATACTTCTCACAACCAGATTATGCGTGGGTTTGACAACTCATCAGTCAAGTCGGTGGAGACAATCGATGACGTAGCAAAGGACAGACATATTCTATAATTTTCTGGCTAGCTTGTTTGGACACCAAATACACCAAAAATTTAATTGTTTTATAATAAAAATATTGTATACTATAATGCATGCCAAAATTATGAGAATACAACATGTGCAACATAAAAAATTTGAGCGGCTGTCTTTGTAAAAAGCAGGCGCGTTTCTTGAAAATTTGTATTTTTACAAAACAAGCAAGTTGGCAACCAAAATTTTAATTTTTAAAGATAATTAATCCAAATTGCTTACAGTATGTGTAAAATTCAGGTTTCTGTACTTGCAATGTGCAGAAGTATAACATTATCTAAAGCAACTATTATTATTTCAAAAGTAGATATATTTTACATGCCTGAAATCTCGGTTAATACACAAGGATGCATACCGAATCAAACAAATTATTAGTTTAACAGATAATTTAGCTATTAAACGCAATTTATTTTTAAACCAATATTTACTTAAATAATTATGATTCTACTTTTCAAACTTTTATTTTTTATCTTGGCAATGATCAATTATGTTAGACCTATCAACAGATCCCTTGCATGTGTCTATAATTTTGCTTCCTTGAATTACCTCCCCGTTCTTTTGGCGATATATTATAAATTCGTCTAGACCTTCAAACCTGTATGTATTCTCATTTTTATCTTTAGAATAGCATTTTATTTGCAAAACAAAACAATAAAAAACAACAAGAACGACATACAATATGCTGCAGCTAAAAGCTGGTAATAAACAAGGAAAAAAGGGTGTAATTGCTGAAATCACCAGCTGTGTTGTTATCACTTTTCTGTTTGTCATTGTAAGTATGTGTAAGTGTGTCGTCAGCGGTCTCAATGCTCCTGTCAAATGAATTGGTATTAATAGCTATTGCCAGCCCAGTACTAATATGGCCATTATCTACATTGACAGGCAAGCAAACAACGCAAACAAACAGAAAGTATTATAATCACACTTGTAAGAAAAATAGTAAGCTTCATAGTGATGATTAATATTTTTAACGAAAGTCAGAATAGGAACTTATTTTGGTAAGGAGATACAGATAAACAGCGGAAACAAGATTATTATATATTATATACTAAATTTTTTCTTTAGATCCCCTATTCTATTCGAACTAAAGCTTTGGCATTGCAATTATTGCCAACAACAGTGGGTGTTTGAGATGCATTAAATTCCGTTTTTTGCTATGCCAACTGTCATAAATATTAGGCTTGCTTTTTTCTCACTCAGGGAGTGCAATTCATGCAATTATATTGCAACAGTCGTATTTCCAAGCCAACTCAAAAATACAAACATGAAAAAGAAATTGCGTGATTGCAGGCAAAAAACACTTTGGCAGCTGGTATCAGAACAATCATGTATAATTTTCTTTTTGGAAAATACAAACCAATTTTAACTGGCTGTAGAGCGTTTATGCGGAAATAACTTAAATTTCATGCAGGAACATAATCCACAATTACCTTTTTTATTACACTCGCTCGCCCACAAAATTTAATGCATTATATATCAGTGGGTGCTTGTGCAGTTTCAGTACCGAGGGAAAAATCAGAATGTGCGACCTTCTGAGTACCATTTTACCCAATTTAACGCACAACAAACAAAAAATATGCAGCCATATCCTGTATTCCATGCTCTTGTTATTTACTTGGCTTTAAAATGGCTAGTGATGTGCAATTAAAAACAAATTGTTATCCGCACAGGCCATAGGACTACAGGTATATGTGTATATTGAAAGGAAATGTCAGCGGGAATGTTGGTGTGGTGCACAATTGAGAAAAAACAGAGTGTTGATAACACTGCTTCATTTCACAGTCAAATTTGTTCTTTTGTTGCTCGCCGGTTGCGCGCTGAAAAAATGTTGATTTCACAATGGGATAAGAATTACCAAACACCAACACTGCTGATTTTAGCAGCTTTGGTGCCGCCATTTATTTTTGGGTGTACAAAATGGCTTGAATTATAAACAATGCACACAACATCCCCAACCAAATGCCGTATCATTCTTATCGGCGAGTATGCGGGGTACTACAAATACAAAAATAGGCGAGCGAACGACCAGCCATGTTTATAAAGAAACTGACATTTGAAAACAAGCGTTTACCATGCTGTATTGAGCATTCGATACAGACAAAAAACATCCGATCGTTAGATGGATGGGTATATAACGTTGCATACAAAACAAAGCAATTATTGGTTTTACAACAGGCAAAGATAATACTAAAAATACAATCAACTAGAAAACATTGTGCCTAATACTAATAAGCACTCAATCCAAAAATAGCAAAAAGTAACCGACACCTGCAGGATTCGAACCTGCGCATCCAGAAGATAATGCCTTAGCAGGGCACCGCCTTAACCACTCGGCCAAAGTGTCTAGTAATTTTAAGCGCTTTTAGATAAACTATTAAGCACTCGCTGAGTTTTAATTTATATAAGGGTATCTTCATACAATTAAATTCAATAAGCATTGTCATTTGCTGTGTTTTTTGTTGTAACTATTAACTAAATGCAAAAATAAGCGTGCTGCACACAAAAGGAGCCTCTGTACAGGTTATAAACGCGTTTGGCCAAATATTAAAAAAGGAGAAATCGATGTGTATTGCAAAATGACGCTTCACTCGTCCTTGGTCTTCTTGACATCCCTGCTGTTTCTGGCAGCCTCCTTGCGGGCCTTGATTACACGCTTGATAGCTGTTAGCAGAGGAAGAGCCACTGGAAGAAAAAACGGCAAGTATATGGCATACTTGTGCTGGTCAGGGAAATACAGCATGGATACCATGGACGGGTCAAAAAAGGCGCTCTCAGCGAGCGTCGATGCCATCGCGGCATTCTGACAGGCCTTCAAATGATCAGTAATGGGTGCGTTTGAGGGATCAAATGCGTTAAGTGCACCTTCAATGGCGCCAAGTTTAAACAGCGACTGATCGACCTTTGTCTTGATTTCATCCATGACGACCATATTCTGCATGGAGTCAACAAGGCGCGTGAGCGACTGTAATGTGGTGATGGCGGTCTCTCGGTTGTCTACCAGCCACTGGCGCAGCAGCGCATCTAGCTCCCAGTCGCTAATGCCCGTGGCGGTGGCCTGGCGAACGCGAATGTTCTTAATCAACGGAGTACCCTTGCGGGCCAGAGGAACGTCCCTGCGGATTCCAATATGCTCACGAAGCTGGGCAATAAACGCGCCCATGTATTCCTGCATTTGCGCTTGTGAAAACACAATGTGGGATCCGGGGATTGTATCCTTGGGCAAATTGGCTATGGTGATGCCGCCCCATTGCGATACCAAGAATGCATTGGTCCTCAGCTGCTTGTGCGCGTCGCCCTGGATTATGTGCATGGGCTGAGATTCCAGGCTAGGTACGTACAGCATAAAGTTGAGCATCGGCGAAATGGGGTCGGTCGACGCGAGGTTCCACGATGGCGAGTTGACAAAGTGCGTCAGCATATCGGAGCTCAAATATGTGTAGTTGTTGGCCCGCTGTGGTTTGATGGGCGGCGAGCCCGCATGGTGCAAAACCTGCGAGGTGATAGTCAACTTAGTCAGGGGCCGCAGGGCATCTACAAAGGGCTGAATGTACTGACTCACGGCTTGCTCGATATCCCAATCAACAGACACGCCGTCTACAGGATCCTCGTTGAGAAGCGTAAATGTAACTGCATACTCTGCTGAGTACTTGAGCGCGCGATCCGAGTGCTTCTGAGCTGCTTTTCCCAAGCTTTTGCGCGATCCAGGTCTCCTGCGCCGCGCCTCTTGCTCCTCTTTGGCCACCATTGTAGATATCAGCTGGGAAAGAATAGGTTCTATCGCAGCCGTCTTTGGCACAAACACTGTAGCCATGCGCCCAACGGCAATGTCTACCGACACCGATGCATCAGGGGCCTCGTGGATGCTCAGCGTGTAGTGGCCGGGGATTTTGGGCGCAGCTCCCTGACAGACGCTCGCCTGATATCGTACGGACCACTCGTTGGGCGCATACAGCGCCCGCTGCTTGTCAATCAGAAACCCAGCACTCTTTTCAATTTTCTTTATTGAATCGACCGTTATCGACATATTTGTGTCAATGTAGAACACAAAGGGTATGTGTAGCGGGTCGATGGGCTTGAACTTTGCAATGTCCTCGGCGGGCAGCTCGGCGCGATATACGCGCGTGGTTGACCACCACAAAGGCAAACCCAGGAGCAGGACAAGCAGGATGCTAACGAGTACCACGATGCGCTCACTGTGGACTGATATCACCGTTTTGGGCTCGTTTCGCCTTTTGAAAAATACGCGGAGCTTTGCGGGCAATGGCATTCGGACGTGTATGGTGTGCTGTGGATTGTGCTGAAGAGAGAGGGAATTGAGGGGAGGCGAAAGTAAATGTTTATGAGCGGAAGTGGACGAGAAATGCAAAAGCAAACCAAGCTGAAGCAAACAAATTCGGGACACACAGCCGCGCTGTGTCGCAGGCGGTGTTGCATTCTCGAGCTAATCTTAATGGCGCTCGCGCGCAATCAAGAATGTGATTACATCACGGGACGGCACGGGTTGGGTGCTGGCTCGAGCCGAGTCACGGATCGCAAACCAAGGCTGGACAATGCACAGGAAAATAAAAGGACAAGCTGGGCTGCAGGTGATGCGATGAGAAGATATTTTCAAGCTCAGAGAAGGTCCAAAAAAAACTCAAAAAAACAGGCGTAAGGACACCCGATTGGGCAGCGGGCGGTTGAAAGAGTGTGTACGTTTAAAAAAACCTTGTGCGAACCCAGCATGGGGCGACACTATACCTTGGGAGAATGCGAGTTATCCCAAGCAAAATGAGTGAGCCCTAGATTTTTCTGTGCTTTCTATACAAAGAAAAATAGAAAACCGCACAGCGCAAGTGGAATGGCGCGGACAGATAAAAATAAACAAAATGGAGAAAATATACGAGGAGAGGGATTTGCGCAGCTTATTTTTTTGCGCAGAAGGGTCGAAAACGAGGCAAGGTGCACACATTATTAGTGCGTGGGGTTTGTGTGCTGCGACAAGAACTAACCCTGCACACTATACACCCGATTGCAAAGAGAGTGCTGATGTTTTTTGATTGCTTTTACACGCTTGTTCACTTGCGAGGCTGGCGTTATAAAATAAGGAAATGGCTGCCAAAGTTTTTTTCGGGACGACCAACTCTTTCTTTTCTGTTATTCATTTTTCTCCTCATCTTTGCCTTTACTTTCACATTTTATCTTATCGACGCACAACCTTTTTACACTTTCTTGTGCCTTTTTTATTAACGGTCATTATCAATCAGCGCCAGGGTCTTTTGTACTTTTCTTTTTACACTTTAAGCATACAAAACACCACCGAGGCTATTATCGCATTAGCATTATAACCAATACGGGAGCACACATTCACACACACAAAGGTAACCGGATTTCATTACTGCCGTAAACAGCATATTAAAATTTCTTTCGTTTGGTACTGCTAAACACGCAAAACGGAGAGTCGATTGTATCGGAGAAAAATACATGCACATAAACAGAGTCCTTGGAACAGGTCTCTTGTTCTTTTGCTTTTATATTTTTTTGTCGTCATAACTATTTATTTGTTCTGTTCCACGCACACCACTGGCCTCTATTTGTCCGTTTATTTATTGCATCATTGGCACAGCACCACACGCTATTTACTTTAATTTTACGCGGTTTCGTCTGGACCGTTTATTTTATTAGCCCACCACACATATCATCTTCCTCTAGTTCAACTCTTGTTTATTTTTACGCCAACTTTATCATCCGCTGCGCTCAATATCGAGTTTATAATTTTTGCAATACACAGCACGAGTCTAATTCCTTCACTTTGCCTTTATTTTGCTTTCCCGTTATTTTCTAGCAGCTTCGCCAGATTAGTTTTTAAATATCACCAACCATGCCTCAGATGCTTGTTTTGGTCGGCTTGCCCGGCTGTGGTAAGACCGCTTTCGCCAGGAGACTTGCATCGCACGCGCCGTCGTGGGAGCGCATCAACCAGGACGAGATGGGCTCGCGGTCGCTGTGCGAGCAACACGCGGCAAAGTGCCTGAAGGAGGGAAAGAATGTTGTCATCGACCGATGCAACTTTGACGAGGACCAGCGTAAGATCTGGGTCAAGATAGCCGAGGACGCGTTTGCGCCCGTCGACGCACTGTTCTTTGATGTCGACGTGAAAGTGTGCAAGGAGCGGGTGAAGGCGCGGAACGGGCACCCGACCGGCGTCGAGGGCAAGTTCGGAGCCGAAGTTGTTGCACGGTTTGACCGCCTTCTGACGCGGCCGACTATCTACGAGGGCTTCCGTTACATCCACAACATTGCCGCGCATCTGCCGGCACCCAAGAAGGGCATGACCGAGGACGAGGTCTTCTGCGTTGGTACCATTTCGAGCATTATGCTGATGTTCCCGCCGAGCAAGGGCCAGGCCCCCTGCGATGCCCCGCCCCCACCTCCCCCCGCCCCTGCCCCTGCGCCATGCCCGCCTGTGCAGGTGTGCCAGCCATGCCCTCCACCACCGTGCCAGCCGTGCCCCCCGGCGCCCTGCCACAAGGATGATGTTAAGGTCACAGTGAAGGTCGAGGAGAAGCAGCAGTGCACCGCGGTCAAGGAGGAAGTCAAGGTCACAGTGAAGGTCGAGGAAGAGGCAAAAAAGGAGAGCAAGGCTGTTGACTTCTGTGCGGCTGACTTTGCAGGCACACCCCCTGTCGGCACAATAACCAAGCCCAACGAGGGTTACGGTACGTACAAGGAGACAAAGGCAATGTGGGAGGACGAGAACCACACTCAGCACTTTAACCACTCGCTGTACAATGAGCAGGCTGACCGCGAGCTGGCCGCTGGCCGCGAGGCCGACCGGCGCACAAGGCACGTGCAGCACTCCGACCACATGGTCAACCCGTCGGCCGGTCTTGCGCGCGCCTTTGACCACCTGTCGCTGGACCGCGACCAGGAGGGCCACGAGGTGGACTGCGACGGAAAGAGGCGCCATTTCCACGACCGCTCCCACTACTACCACCAGCACGAGCACCAGGAGAACGCCAAGGCGGGCACTGCGCGCACATACGAGCACAAGCACATGAACAGCTTCCGCCACGTGCACGCCGACAAGCCCGATAAGGCACGGACAGAGGCCTTTGAGCACCGGTCGTTCAACTACGCGTACAAGGGCGGCGCCGGCTTTGACCCTGAGCAGGTCATGATGAGCTCGTCAAAGAACAAGCTCAAGTTCGAGGACGACATCAAGGCGTCGTTCCACAACCTGCCCGCCAACGACCACTTCTCGTTTGCCCAGAACGTCAAGTGGGAGACTGAGTTCCCGACAAAGCCCAACTGGAGCGTCTTTGGCGGCAAGTAATCCTTTGTATTGCAAAACAAAAAACACTCCCATTTGCTGCTCTCTATCATATAATTTTATTCCAACCTTCTTTTTCATCATTTTACTCTCAACCTGACATTATATCTTTTCCACACTCATATACCATGTGTACATTGACTATTCTACTGTTCGCACACTATTTTTAAGCGAGAAATAGTGCATTTTATTTGGACAATTTACAAATAAAAAATGCAATTAAACATTGCATG